ATGAATCAACAGATTATATTAATTCCTCTTGGCATGAAATAAGTTATGAATGGTAACAAACGTAAAATAGGACAATGCATCTTGATGATACTTCTCAAGACTGAATATGGAAACAAATGCTAATGTGCGCGTGTAGTATTATGACAGATCCAACTAAAGGAGTACCTTACCATTCCCTTGAGTTTCTTTAAAAGCTACTGTGGGATTCAGTTGCACATGACATGGTATGAGAAAGACATTTTCTTAATAGTTTCTTGAGTTTGTTATTTACCTTCAACACAAGTTGCACCTACGTCATCCAGATCTCTTCTGGCGTCGTACTTCAAGTCAGAACCGACAGAAATCCACCTAGAGATTGCGAAATAATTTCAAGATCATTTCCACTGAGATTTGGTAACGATCGATATGGCATACAAATAAAAACTTACAGCGCTTTTTTTCTTCCTTGATGCCAATTTTCCCAGATTAACCCAGCAATAGTTCGACCTTTACCCACGCCAGCTCCATCTCCAACAAAAAATCCAGCCCTAGTGCCATTGGCAAGGTGCTGAAGGTGTCTCTGTCATGATGACCGAGATTTTCTAATGAGTGAAGGCACATGGATATAATTTGAATTAGTTGCAACCATGAATGTAACCTGACAAGCGTAGACCAGTGTCTCAATTTGCAAGCATGACAAGAGCTTTGAGGTTTCCAGCTTATCCTTAATTTTCATGTCGTACGTAGGCTCAGGAGGTTGAACTGCAGATAACGATGATGTCTCACAAACAGGATCCGGGTGAGGAGGTCCAATGGATAATTTGAGAGGTCGCTGCTTATTAAAAGGATCAAAGGATCACGAAAGGAGGTTAAAGAAATTTAGCTGACAAGCAAGGGGCTGGTTCAAGTGAAAAAAAAGGACATGCAGAACACTCACGTAGTCGGTAAAAGTTTCTCCCAACATCCCACCTTCATCTTCTTCACGTTCCACGTCAATGGCCACCTGGAAAAAATTGGAAGACAACAAAGCGTACAGTTTGCTTAAAAATGGGAAAAGTGAATAAGCAATCAGAATGTTTTAGGAGAAACAAACCACAAACTACAGGATTCATTTGAGATCATTAACATAAGCAAGCCTTTCTAAGGCCAACCAGTCACAAGTTCTATCCCAAATCCCATGTTCTCATCTTAAATTACACCTCAGAACCCGTGACCATAAATAACTATTCGTCTTCTGCCGCCAATGGAGACCATTTAACCATGCAGCATCTCAACAAGCAAAAGAGTCTGTGCTTTTCAATCTCGAAACAAAAGTACACAAGGTAAGAAAATTGTTATCATTTAAAAATTCATGAAAAAACTTCAAGCATATAGATCCACGCAACCCAACTTCTAAAACTATCACCAGAAAACCACCTGATTTGATAAGATTGGTTTCGCAAATGCAGATTTAATCGACAGCCCTTAGTTACTAAAACGTCCCCATGACAACATAAGATCAGAATTGTGTTTAGACATGACAAATTCAGCTCAATAACAGAGATGTTGAAGAATGCAAACTTGCCATTAAATGCAGATGACTCATAAACAATATAGATATGCTGAGGCAAATATGCCAAGCTCAATTACTCCTGGTGACATAACTAAGCAGAAGGAGACACACATCATCTCAATCAATCCAAGAGAAGTGAAAAGTAGGCCAGAAGCATGGACAAGAAACATCTGCTATTCTTTCCTCCTAGATGAAAAACTCCCCATCTTTTACTCACAACAATGGCCCCTAAAGTAATAGGACCTTAACTGCAAAAAAGGGAAGTACTAGCAAAACAATTAGGGACAAAGACTGTTGAATAAAGGAAGTATGATGGAACCTCCCAGATATAATCAGAACGGTTGGCATACATTTCAAAAAGAACATGACAGCAAGTACATTCTCCATGCCGACATGTATTAGTTACATTAATCCTCTTATGCTATCACCTCGTTCCAATGACACATTCCATGCAAGATCGGTACCTTTAACATCCTGCCAATACTTTCTCATGCTTTCCACCGCCTCTTTTGATCCAAATCCTATTAAAGTTCTTATCTTCTCACTAGAGCATCTTAAGGTCACTATTTCATATACCCCACCTGCGACACATTTTCCTACAGAAAATCACATCTCAGTGCTTTAAGCTATTTGAAGATTTTTCAAATTGTTCAAAGTACATTTTTGTTGGATAGGCACTGATAGGGCGCCAGCCCTTGCATAAAATTTATTAGCAAGATATAGTCTCACTGTCCACCACATCTAACGCATCTAGTTATTCCACTCTTCAATGGTGATTAAAGAGCCAATCGGTGGTGAAAATCGAGGCGTATAAAACCAATGGTGAAGAACAAGGCGTATTCGAAACACTCTCTACACCCCCGAACACTGTCATCTTCCTCTCCCTCCCAATATCTGAAGAAATTCAAGATAATGTAAAAGAAACACCTAGTATATGGGTAAATAGCACAATCCATAATCCGCCATTTACCCTCGCTTCAACTCACACCACATATGATCCGTCGATAATATTCTCAGCAGTCGTCTCTTTCTCCAGCAACAAAATAACAAACCAAAATTACCACGATATAGCTAAACATGATTTGAGCCACTTGATGTCTCGTCATGTGATTCAAGTTAACATGGAAGACAATTCCCGTATTGGTTCTATGCTAAAACAGTCATTTCCTTTGTAAATTAACTTGTTATAGTGGGGGTCACTCATCGAAGGGCCTACTGCAGCATAGCGCCATCCTTTTAGACCCCCCAAATGAAGGAACTTTCAAGTAGCAAGCCTCATGACAAAATAAAAAATAAGAAGACAGACGGGAAGCCACATGGGTAAGAAGTTAAGGGGGAATGTGGGAGCAACCAAGGGAGCTAAACGAGCATTTGAGAGTCGTCCGTCGCCGATTGAAGTAATAAGCACAATACACTCATAGATGCCATAACACAAATGGAAGGGCGTATAAGGAACATGATAAAGTGCGTCGGAGAGAATCATGGGAATGGAAAATGAAGAAAAAAGAGAGGAAAGCAGAGAGGGCGAAGAGAAAAGGGGAGAGAGAACCTCGTTGACCTCCTCAGGAGGGGGAGGAGGAGGAAGAGGAAGAGGAAGAAAAGGCTGCTTGACGGCGAGGTCGGTGTCGCACTGAGGGCACTTGAAGCGAGAGAGGCCATGGGGGACGTTGAGGAGGGCCTTGCAGTGAGCGCAGGGAAGCTGGATCTTGGTGGGATCGATGCCGTGGGCAGGCTTCAATTGAGCGACTCTGTTGGGGGTGGTGTTGGTATTGGTATTGGTATTGGAATTGGCATCGGGAGAATTGTAGTGAGGAGGATTGGCAGGGGTGGTGAGCTCGGGGGGTAGCATTTGGGGCAACTGGCAGGTAGGGCAAGAGAACTGCATCACTCCCCTCCCCACGCTCAGTATCATCCGGCAGCCCGCGCACCTGACCTGCACGCCCTGCGGAGCGGCGGCGCCTTCCGAAGCGGGCAGCGGCGGAGGAGGAGGAGGAGGCGGCGGCTGCTGCGTCATGATCCTCGGCCTCCGATCTCCGGTGGAAAAATGGGGCACCGGCTGAACAGTGACACTGTGTCGTCTCTCAAAACTCTCGCGCACCCCCAACCCACCACTCGAAGAGAGAAAGAGAGAAAGGATGAATTAGATTTTGGGGAAAAGGACAGGAAGAAAAGTGGGGGAAGGGATGGAGGTCGGAAGGAAGGAAGGGAGGGGGAAAAAAAGGGGAAGCGGAGAGAGCGCCCCCAGAGAGTTTAGAGGGGTTTCGTTGGCGCGTTGATGCATGTCACCGGCCCTGCCTCTCACCACCACGACCACGGCCACGACCCAAACGAAATGGGCAGAGGAACCGTCTCTCTGTTCTTTAAAATTAAAGGATTAATATCACGGAAACCTCATTTGATACATTCATAATAATTTTATTTCGAACTAATTTTTTGATCACCAAAAATTTCAAATTGGTACACCTGTAATAAATTTACCCTCCGTTAGTTTTCGTTAAATTTCACTATCAAATTACTAAGTTTGATGACACGTGATAATTGATGGATGTACTAATTTAAGATTTTACCCATCTGTTTGTCACAAGTTTATCAATTTGTGATTTTCTATTATATTAATGCAATTTAACGGACACTAACGGAAGGTAAATTTATCACAAATGTACCAGTTCGGGATTTTTAGTGATCCAAAAATTAATTTGAAGTAAAATTATCACATGTGTACCACTTTTCAGTTTTTGGTGTTCAAAAAAATAATTCGGGATAAATTTATCACAAACGTATCAATTTGAGATTTTTCGTGATATTAATCCTTATAATATATGGCTCAATTTTCATTTCAAAGTCCGTGCAACGTAACAATATATATAAGCCCCGTTATCAAATGCTAATACGGACACGCCCCACAAGGAGCTCCAATTGACCCCAAGCTTTTGTTTCTCTGAGTCGCACAAGTTATTACTTGGGGTAAATGGGAAAGGAATCCACGCTTGGAAGTTGAAACCATGACCCTGCCCTCTATTTTGGACACTTCTGCAGCTGCGAGATTCGGCCGACAAAACTCAAAACACGTCTTCCTCGAGACGACAGAGGAGGACTTGTCCATTCACTTCATCAGTTTCTCAAGTGTCCTCGAAGCTCATGGTGAGAGATAATGGACCGTCCGTGTCCATGTGAACCTGCAACTGCAAACTCATGGATGCTGCAACTGCAGCCAATGCTCCAGCAGCAACCAAGCCGCCCATTTAAGGCATCCACGTCAAGAGCAAATCTTGTACGAATTGAGCGACACATTTGGACACAATCGGCTCGTCATCTGGCAAGTTTTGAACTTCACCAACAATCACATCCCCCATCGACGCTCCAGCGACATACCATCGATGAGAGAAAAAGCAATAGTTATTACATAGTATATGCCCAGTCTTAGCATTAAAGTTGCTCAGACCTTTCAACTCAAAACGATGCTCGGAAATAGAAGACTAGAACTAGAGAAAATCGACTCTCACGACCATCATACAACTTAAGAGACTCTACAATTTGATTGCATTAAGTATCCAACTATCTATTTCTTTTTCTCATCAGCCTTCACTGCTTCATTGGCCCTGCTATCTTGCTTCTGCACCGGTTGAATCCTCACGTAAGGATTCCTAGTCAATGTCTCTCCCTTCAGAGCTGCTACGTACCTGTCATTTGTGTCTTCCTTCCTCCGGAGCTCCCCCAGATATTCTGCTAGTCTGTCTCTATTCACTTTTCCCATCATCTAGCACGCGATTACAGCGGGTCAGGATGATTCACTTACTACTTAAGCATGCACGAGAAGAAAGCACTAGCAAAATTTTTGGTGCAAAAGAAGACAAAGCTTAATTTGTTTAGTCTTATGGCAGGTGACAAAACTCATATGCACTTAATATGTACAAATCTGCATTAGAAGTACTGCAATGTGCCAAGAGTCACATCAGATATCAATGGCTGGTGATCCCCCGGGCCTCCATATCTCTACTACAGTCAACAGTAAAGCAACATTGAGTGCCTTGTGGTTGTGCCGGTGGATAGCTGGGTCAAAAACTTAAGGGATTAGCGCAGTGTGAGTTTTTATACACAACTATCACTTTCCCCAATAAGCAGAATTAAAACATGAGATATTCACCAATGACTAGAGCTTCCATTGACATGTGTGCAAAAGGTCTGGCTCAGTATAGTAGTGGCTATTCCAATTTTAACAGCCAATGATTCTATTCATCTACCGTATCAACAACAATTTCCAAACGGACTGTTTTCAAGTGACAAGGCCAGTAGGGAATGCAATGCCAAACCTATTCATAATCTCACAATTGGATGCTAGAGAAAATTTCAAGTCGAGAGAATTGCGCCGCCAAGACATAATCAACGGACACAAGCCTCGGAGAATCAACTACAAACTGTAACACGAGAAGGAGGACCATGAGAAGAAACGTACAAACCCACCAGAAAAGGCGATCGGGAATTCATCACACCATTTAGTCGCCTGATGAATTTCAAAGTGAGGGTTGCACTCAGACGTAGGATCAATTATGGAAAGCTATTGCTAAAGAGACGATAAATAGGATCGAAACTCTTAGGAATCCTCCATGACGGCTCCTCCTCGAGCAAAAAGCTTTTTAAACTGGTAAGCACTTTGGATATGATATGAATCCTCCCTATCCAGCATGTCAGTTAATTATTCAAGCGCACTGCCGATGATTCTCTGCATTGAAGCCTTTCGATTTGGACGTTTTCACAAGGCATTAGAGAAGCATGAGCGAGGAATTGCAGTTCCACTTAGGATCAACGGCGAGACTACAACATTGGCAAGAAGAAAACCGAAAAAAAAGGCGGAATCACGATCCAAGAAGAGAAGGGGGAGGTAATGAACAGCAGAGCCCTAGCGTAAGCGACGAGGACGCGAAGGAAGAAGGAAACAAAAAAAAAGGGGAGGAGGGAGAGACGCACGAGGGATTCGGGGCGAGCGTTCTGGCGGAGGCGAGCCTCGAGCTGGTCGGTGCGGGAGCTGGTGAGCTGCATGACGCAGTAGCCGATGACGCCGGGGACGACGCCGCACACGGTGGCGAAGGCCAAGAAGAAGGGCTTAGAGTCGCGGGTCTTCCGCACGATCCACCTCCAAGCCCCGCTCTTCTCCCACAGGATCGACATCTCTCCCGGAAGTCTCGAAGTCGAGCCCCCACCCTGCGACTCAGCACGGGAGCGCGGCTTTTAAAAGTACGGTTCTGGCCAAAAAAAAAAAAAACAAAGGAAAAGTATGGTTTCGGAAGGAGTGGGCCGGTCAAAAAAGGCCCAGTCAATGAGCCCGAGGATGCATGGGCCCAAAGGAGGGAGGATGGGCCCAGCTTAAAGGTAGGGCTTTTTTGCTTGGAAGGAAGGTTCACCGAATCGCAGCGGCCGCTCCTCCAACTGACGACTGACGCCGACCCTCCACCCCCTCCCCTCCTATCCTATCTTCCTGCCAAGTGGACCCCTCCATCATCCACAGTCCACCCCACGCCACCCCACCCCCACACCCTTCCTTCCATCTTTCTTTCTTTTGTTCTTATTTAAAAGCAATGACGAGACGAGCATAATCAGGAAAAAGCAAAGCTGAGCGAAGGGGGAAGGGGGAAGAGGGAAGAGGGATGGGAGGGAGGGGAGGGTCCATATTTTCACGGGGTCATTGTAGTCAGCCGTTGGACAGATAAGCTGTCCCTTTTGTCTCATTTCATCTTTTGCTAAATAAAGAAAGAGAATTACATGTCCTCTCCCTCTCTCTTTCCTTCCCCTCTCCTTTTTAAAGCTTCCTCCCGTCCGTCCGTCCCCCCATTTGATCAAAAAACATCGTGCCGAGTGATATCGGGATACACAGAGAAACAGGTGAGGGATGAACGCGAGAGGAGGATCGGTGCGGTGGAGGCAGAAATGGAGGCAGCAGCAGCCGCTGGAGCCGCTCATGGAAGGGCCCGACCCGGAGATGCAGCAGCAAGGCCAGCGGAAGGAGCGGTCGTGGGACGCGATCCGGGAATGGTTCCGCTCCCAGAAGGCGGGCGCCCATCACTGCGTCCACACCACCACCAGCAGGGCGGCTGAGCTGAGGCTGCTCCTCAGCGTGCTGGGCTGCCCCCTCGCCCCCATCCCGCTCACCGCCTTGCCCCACCACCCCCTCCTCCCGCCCTACTCCATCCCCATTCAGAACTCCATGGCCCATTACATCCTCAAGCAGTACATGGCCGCCACCGGTTGCTCCCACCCCCACCGCCACCGCGCCCCCGTCGCCAACATGTACGCCGCCGGCCGCGTCAAGATGGCCTGCTGCGAGACCGAGCTCTCCTCCGGCAAGTCCGTCAAGTGCGTCGGCGCCACCCGACCCACCCCCCACCACGGCAGCTTCGTCCTCTGGCAGATGACCCCCGCCTTGTGGTCCGTCGAGCTCGCCCTCGTCGCCGGCGGGCCTCCCAACTCCAATCTACATTCCAGCGACGACTTCTCTCACTACAGTACCGTTAACGACAACAAGGTGGTCGCCGGCAGCGACGGCAAGATCGTGTGGCGTCACACTCCCTGGCTCGGCACTCACGCCGCCAAGGGCCCCCACCGTCCCTTGCGTCGCCTCATTCAGGTACATGTCTAGCATACAGCATTGTATACGTTAGCTTCGCTTCCAATTAACGTCGGTCTCTTCCGTTGCCTCCATTTTACTTTTTAGTTCTCTCCTGGTTAGTTTGTGCCCGCTTTTACTGCTTTGTTCGATGGATGATGAAGTAAAACCTCTGGCACACTGGCCATCGTTCACAACCCATCAACTTCAATCTTTTCACACTTGAGTATGAAGTTATGAACACTCCTAGTTGCCTTCTTTTTCGCCTTTAAGTTTTATGCGTGCGCAATAGCCTTCCTAATCATTCAGTGCAAAGATCTGATATATCGTAGGAGGGAACGATGAACAGTGTCTTTTCTTGGTCAACCCTGAAGGAGTTGAGCTACTCTCATCGTGATCCACGACACCGATCTTATTTAAGGTTCGAAACAGCGTGTTACAGCATGGGAAATTCATATGATGGGATCATCATTTACTGCACTTTTATAGACAAAGCTTGAGAAAGCACAGATATGAGTCCACTAGTTCGGAAAGAAAACCGATAGAGAGAGAGAGAGGTGCAAGGTTAGAGTGGGAGGAAAGAAAGAGGAGGGGGAAGTGAGATCTGACATTGATGGAGAAACTGTCCCATCCTTTACCGGACATAGGACATCTATGGGGTCCCTTCTTTTTCTTTCTTGGACCATTCGACTGAATTGAAAATTTTCAAAAACTTGCAAAAAGAAGAAAAGAGAGGCAAGTGCTGGTTCACACACACACACCCACACACAGAGGCACTGATGAGTCAGGATGGCATGACGAGGATGACGCAGTGCTTCACGAGAAGTCATTATGTAGACCAACGATGAACAATGAAGGTGGAACTAGAACCCTCTTGGGATTCCCGCTTCGTCCATCTCCACATTCCCACTCCTTCACCCTTTTTCTTTTCCTCCGCACAACTTTATTGACCAGTGTGCGCTCCTGCTTCCTTTGGATCTAGGAAGATATTGTCTCCTAGGCTCGATATCTGCAAAATCAGCTATTGGACATTATAAGTATCGAGCATCGTATTTCCAACTATAATCGTGTAACGTTATAAGTATCGAGCATCGTGCCTAAACAGTCAACTAGAATTTGTCGGTAGAAATCAGTTTTAGAAATTGATTCTGCGCGCCTTAACATTGTTCTAAGCTAAGGAGTTCAACCAGATGGTGATATAGATGGCCGTGACATTATGCATTATGGAATTGAACCTTTACTAAACTATCCATTGACGGAAATCAGGGACTTGACCCGGAGAGCACGGCTCGGCTGTTTGGCAAGGCGCAGTGCATGGGGGAGAGGAGCATAGGGGAGGAGGAATGCTTCGTGCTCAAAGTGGCAGCGGAACGGGAAGCGGTGATGGAGAGGAGCGAGGGCGGGGCGGAGGTGTTGAGGCACGTCCTCCATGGCTACTTCAGCCAGAAGAGCGGCCTCCTCATTTACCTCGAGGACTCCCACCTCACCCGTGTGCACCATGTCCCTACCAGTAACAGCCCTGGCGAGGACAGTGAACTAGACGATCAAGAACAACAACACGACGAAGAGCCCGCATCGTTGGGTGAGACTGTGTACTGGGAGACGACGATTGGGAGCAGCATCGGGGACTACAGAGAGGTGGATGGGCTGATGATCGCTCACGAGGGGAAGTCCATCGCCACCCTCTTCCGCTTCGGGGAGACGTCAATGCAGTACAGCCGCACCCGCATGGAAGAAACCTGGACCATCCACGACGTCGACTTCAACGTCCCGGGTCTCTCCTTGGACCACTTCATCCCTCCTTCCGATATCCACAGCCCTTCGCCTTGACACATCCCTACCTCCTAATGACACTCCCATTTAATTGGACGAACCATTCCTAGCTAAATCCCACCTTCTCATAATTAACAACTGCTCACAATGCTTCCTGTATATGAACCCTTTAGATTAATCGTTGGGTTGTTCTAAGTAATTCTTATTTTTCTTTCGCTGTTGTCAAGTTGGGGCCGTTCATTTGATGTCATCTGACTTTTTTCATTACATATAAATGGAGATAAGAGTGCAATTTTGGTGCAAAACAACATTATCACGCAATACGTATGTGCATGGAGACTTACATGTGGCATAAACATGCGCTATCTTCAAAACATCAACAAGACTATCCATGAACGATCCGCAAATTACAATGACAGTCCACAACAAATCCGGATAGGCATGTCCTCATTTACTGCTCTGAACTGTAATGTGGTTACGAAGATGGCCTCCCCATTCCATCGCCATCCCCATTTGTTTTAATACATAGGTGCTCTATCCGAAAATGCAAGCAACCTCAATAACTGCTCTATTGTGGACTGCACTGTCAAGCACATGGAAACTCATCATATTGCAACCAGTGCCATGTGCTTGGATCCTCTCGAACATTCGATATGACATCGATACATATTCATATTGAAAAACAAATGATCCGGAAATCCCAAAATTTGAACCGTTAGTTGGAACGTCAAGGGATTTCTTCCTTATGAATTGAAGGTAACTCATTCAAATCCTACCAATTGAGTAGAAATTTTATGGATCGGGGTCATCTTCATCGATTGAGATTCGGACTCCACCGGTTCACGAAACTTGCGAAGCGTTTCGTGAACTTTCAAATAGTCGAGTCTCTATGCCCATGTCCAGAATTATAAGAGCAAAAGAACTGACGGGCCAACATATATGGCAGTTGAAGAGGGCAATTTCAAAGGGGAAGTGGGCTTGAGGAATTCACTGGATTGGGCCGAGTAAAGAGGCCATAGGAAAGTGGGTCATGGGCTTAACTGTAGCGGCATCAGTTACGCGTTATACGTACTTACGACATTCTGTGGAGCGAGAGCGGAGAGTGACAGTAGCGCTGCACAGCACAGCAGTCCAGTTTAGCAGCATTATTAATTAAGGGGAAGCTTGCGTAGCTGAATGGGGTTCATCGTCCACCAAAGTGCTGCTTTGTCCTTTTCTTTTCCTCGCTTTTTCCTTTACATACGAAAGGCCTTCTTAACAGCCTGTAAGGCAGAATTACCAATGACGATGTATTAGATTTAGACCACATCATGTGTTGCCCCCAAAAAAACTAAAGATCAGATGTCATCACGTGCTTCTTTCCTTTTTTTCCTTCTTCTTTGTCTGTTTATTATTATTATTATTATTATTATTCTTCTTCATCTACATTGCTCACCAGGTATGGTCATGTCATTTTTCTATCCTCACGGTTGAATAGTTTAAAAATTTTGAGTTGAACACTCCAGCACTTTCGATGGTTATACCTGTTATTGAAACATCATACATCACTTGTTTATGGGGTTTATGTGCTCTTTATATACACATAGTCTCTTTACACCTACAGATTAATTTTTTGCGCTGAACATTCTAACATGGTAGTGGAGTAAATTTTGTTACAGTTTATTTCACGTATATAGCTCTCCCTTCATCAATAACGATTGCCATACCCATTTTTTTCGTATTTTACACTTTCACTTCATCTAGTTTTAAAATTTGCACTTTGTTGTTATCACTGCCATACTTGGGCACACATGTGGGGTGTGAGTTGACGGCCTTGTGGCTAACCTAATGTGGTGATCTTTGTTAGGGTCACAACAGAGGCACCAAAGAGGCTAGGTTATCACCGGCGACTTGCCGCAGTCCAATGGGTGAGGCTAAGTTGTCAAATAAATGTGAACCGTTTTACGCATATATTATGCATCACTCATTTAAAGGTGAAAGTAAAATAAGTACTTTCCAACATTCATTTCGTAACACAAGCTAATTATCTTTTGCTATTAGTAATTTCATGATATACGAAAGTACATCTACATTCTTTTTTATGAATATTCTTTGGAATGAGAATGAAGCATCCTATGAGGATTAGCTTCATATTGAAGAGAAGCAACACATTTCTTGAATACATGGATGGGAAAAACAGACATCGGAGGGAGGGAGAGCCTCGTGAATATGTCGTCTATCTAAAAAGAGGAGCAACATTTTATGGCTTTGCGGAAGTGGATAAAGTTCTTCTAACATCAGGGGGCCCTCTAAATTTAGAGATTCTCAATTGGGTGAGCGGTAGCAACAGAAGGTTTGACAACCCAAAGACCAAAGAAATGGCATACAGGATCTTCCGCAAATTTAAGGACATGTTACTCCCTTGATTACCGTGCATGTCTTCTCATCAGCGAACGATATGATGCAACAGAAAAGCAAACCTCATTCAAATGCCATCATTCCATCAGCTTTTTAAGGAGAGAGAGAGAGAGCGACCAACTTCACTTTGGAGTAGAAAAGATAGAAGCTTCCTCGATTTCTGGCCGCGTGGGAGTGCGGTTCGATTCTCCTCTGTCTTTCTTTTTTTTCTTTGTTTTTTGTTGTTTAGAGACTTTAGCTTTTCCGCTGTCTGCATTCTACTTTGCTTTTTCTGATGATCTTTCTCCCCTAAATTCTAACTCGCTGATAATAATCAATTTGCTGGTTTTTGAATGATTTGCGTGTGCTGAGGCACTCTAGGTTCAATAGCAAGCTTGCAGGCTGTGCAACTTTTGATTTCCTTGCCCTAAATTTCCGGTACTTCAACATCATCATCATCATCATCATCATCCTCCTCTTTTTTTCCGCTTTCGCATGCATTTCGTAATCGCTTACCGAGTAGCTAGGCTCAGATGAAAATGTAGGTGCCTTACATATCATCTTAAGTGAAACTCACCCAAAAGGAGCTCGACGAGACTCTCCAAATCTCGGGCCTCCTTTACAAAACATCAATTGAACCCCAATCCTATCCATGAAAAACTCATGCTGTCACACTTTACACAACTTTCCCAATATAGTAGTGCGTCTATCAAATCGGGTGTGATTTATATGCTTACGTACTTTTTGCTGATTTCCTCAATAAGTGCTATCTTTAGATTGTATTCATTTGTTTTGGTCAATTTCCTCTAGTATCACATGGTTATGAGGAATATCCACCATATTCTAGTCCTGATATTGTCAAACTCATCGATATACATCTTGATTCCCATCCAAATACCGATTGTTTTCAGCCATTTCTTCCCCCGCAAAACTGGGGAGGTTTTTTACCATCATGTCGATTGTTCGGTTTCTTGACATATACTCGACTCATTACGCTTCACAACTACCAGTGCCGCAACTTATATCTCATTTGTGAAATAATTTGGTTATTCAAGAGCACAAGTTGGTTTCAATACATCGTGTCACATCATATTCAAGTTTCTATTGGAATGTCAATAATTTCTAGCCCTAACTCTCCATATTGTTGAGCTTGCTGGCAGCAAGATAGTTCTGTATAAACGCCTTCAGGGAGTATTTCAAGTGGTAATATATTAGCCGGTTCACTCGAATTCAAGTCAATTAGTCTAAAAGAAATGCATGAAAGTAGAAGCTAGCGAGCAAGCTAAATTGAAAATTCATAGGTCCATCGAGTGCAGGAAAGGGCTAAGAGAAGATGAACACACCACGCTATCATGACTCTAAAGGACACACAGCATGAGTATTTCTTTTGTATCAGTGCTGGAATAGCTTGAGATCTTGCATCCCCTTTACTTTCTTTGCGAAGCTTGTGGTGTTTCATACTTAAAAGATAGATCGTATCTACCACATCAGCTAAATATTGAGTATATATAGTGAATTCTCTGCATACATGCATGATCTGGGACTGCACTCGTCAATAGCGTAATACCTAAAATTGGATAATAACATCTGAACATGCTACTTCAGAAATCAACATACACGACTGCTCGTGAAAAAACTGAAAAATAAGTAATTTGGAGTACTGATCAATGGCAAAATGTCCATTTCTTGTAGTATGAATGGGATAACTGAAACCAGCGAAAAAGTAGAGAAAAGAAATTTCGGTGCAAAAGTAGATTAATTAGTACATGAAATGATAATACAAGTTAAAACAAGTTCTGCCATGCCTGCATGGCATTATGTGATTCGTATTCTCAACTAGCTAGCTACCACTGGAAACTCGGAGGTGATCAGATAAGTAAACCTAAATAATATTCCTTGATGATCAAAGTTCCCAAAGCCGAGTTCATAATACATATGCTCATACATAGAAGAGCAAGGTTTGAAGACCCGGAAGAAACTCTAGTCCAAAAATAATGAGTGTGACATAATTAATTCAGCTGATTAATTACCATAGCGTAAGAGTAGGGTAGATTTCATCAGCATCAGCATCATCCACCCTGCTGAAAGAGATGGTCATCGTGGCGATGGGGCTTCAAAGGCTTCTGCAGATTCTTCTCAGTCAGATCATCCCCTCCTCCCCCTCCGGGAAGAACTGGCGGTGGCTTCGCTTCATAAATTTCAACGGAGATGGAATCGACCATCTCAGGCGTGTGGATCTGCTCATGGCCATGCTCTGGGAGATCATCGGCAGACCATAGCAAAGGGTTCTTGCCGCTACCACCTGTCACAAAGGGACTCGGTCTCTTCTTTCCAAAACCAGTGTTGTCATGGCTGTTGTTGTTGTTGTTACTGGGGAGATGGTAGGAATCGAGGGAAAGGGAAGGCCGGTCCAGGTTTGGATGAAGATCGAGTTGGTCGGCACCACCGTAGATGTTGAGGTCTTGGAAAGAAGGGAAGTTGAGAGGGGATGAGGATCCAAAGTCTTTGACAAATGGTGCTCCTCCTCCAATGCTATTAATTGGGTTTGGCATATTACTAGGGGTCTTGTGGTTGTGGTAGCCTCCTCCGGATGAATTGTGAAGGACCATGCCTTCACCGGCAAGCGTCTGGCATGCCTTCTCCAACATGGCCTGCATGTACTTCCCTTGCGCCTCTATCCTCAGCTGCAGGTGTCTCTGTACCTGCCCCAATTTGAACCGTTTCTTTTCTAATTACTCAGCATGGAGAATAAGATGTAGAGATAGTTGAAACCTTTATTTTCCCATGTATGAATTAGGTGAGGGCAAGTTTTACCTCTAATTGCTCGTGAAGTCTTCGCTGCACCTCCATTTGCATCCTGACGATGGCATCAACCAACCCATGTTGTGTTAGTCGTGCAAAATATCCAACAAACGGGTAAAAAAAAAGAACCCCAGAACGTCCTTAAGTTTAGGGAAACAAAATAAACGACTTACTCATTCATACTGCGGCCTATCATGGCAGAAGAAGAAGCGGAGCTTCTTTGAAGCTCAAGTGCAGAAGCTGTCAAAAAAAGGTAAGGTATCGCAGCGTCAAATTATATATGCAAGTAGATGAGAAGTGATCCACGGTTATACACCGAAAAGCTACGTGACACATGATGAACATGCACAGAAAACCTAGAAATAGAAGAGACAATATAGAGTCACCTCTCTTACCATCCTTGATGGAGTGGTCATTGAATTCCTTGTGGGGTTGCTTTCCCAGCCTGAATTTCTGCAGCCAACAAGTAGGTCAGGTCTTTGCCCAGATGAGCAAACACAAGAAAAGAAGGAAAAGAAAGGCAAACAAAAGCGGGAACACAATCTCGATCGCCGCAACCACCCACCCCACCTATACACTTTGGACTTAGAACCCTGTGAAGGGGGTGACAGACAAAAAAGCTTGTATAAAGCCGAAAGCAAAACAAATTAAAAGAAGTAGACCTGGAGATGGCTCTTGAGATGGTAAAGAGTGAGACCCTTCACACCCATCACTCTCATGATGGTCTTCGGTGTTGCCTCTGTCGTCACACCAAATTAACATCAAGATTACTTATGGTACATGAATCATTAAACCTTCAGGGCCGAGATAGGCGTGCGTGTAGCTAGCTAGAAAGAAGGAAGATGGAGCTGGAGAGAGCTTCAAACCAAATGAACGAAAGAGAATCGTTGCTACTCACTATCGGGGCCTCCAAGCTGAGTGACAGCGTCGACGAAGCGCTCATGAAGCTCAACGGTCCATCGGAGGCGGGGCTTGGGGTCAGTGGTGAGGACGAGGCCAGAATCACCTTGCACGCACATCCCCCTCTCATGGGAATTCATACCCGAGGCCTTCTTGGGATGGAACATTCTCTCCCTCTCTCTAAGCTGAAGAACAAATGCGATATGGGGGAAAGAGAGAAGGAATAGGGTGCGTTTTTGGAAGAAAGATCAGGCTACCCTTTTCCCCTTTGGCGTTTCTCTATTCCAAAGCAAGCTACTAGCACAGCCCTTTGCAAATATATATCATATTTATTAGTTTATAATAAATTATATAGCCGCTATACCCTCTTCTTTTTCTTTTTCCTTTTTTTTTCCCAAAGCCGTTTGGCCATCGAACAAATAAGTAATCTTCGCAGCTACACCGCCATTCCGTAGATGAAATCTTATCCGATACACATGTATCTTCTACTTTACATGTATCTACGGGGTTTAGTTGACTTTTTACTATACCTTATGTTATATTTAGAAATAAATTTAATTCAATATTGATGGTAAAAAATGTTAAATTAAAGGACAAGGTTAAGACATTGGCACACATATACAATCTATTATCTTAGTAGCTACAATCATTGCATTAATAGATTTAAAGTTTCATGGCTTATGTAAAAAAATCCTGGACTAAAGGTGTTTTTTGTAAGCATTCTTAAAAGATAGATTAATCACACTTAGACTGATTTGCATCCCATCAGTCGTCAATTCCTTTGTATAAATAATAATAATATGTCATTTTAACTCATTAAGACAAGCTTTATAGATCACTCATAAATAGAGAGAATCCACATCCTCCAATTCCGACAATGCAATTGCTCAATTCTACATTGTCACGCATGATCTATTGCCAGATGCTTTTAATGTTCTGATTTCAGTTCTTTTACAGTTTCTCATTATTTCAACTGCTATGACACGATGAGAACTTGCTCTTGATTTAACTTTGACCATGTGTTAGTTCCATGCAAGTGTAGTTGCAGAGATATAAATAGTATTGTATTATCATGCTCTATGCGCCTATACTGCTTGAAATTGGTCACGCAGCAAATTTTACGAGTTATATCATCTTGATATAACGCTAACTCATGTATTAACAAAGGATTTAGTAGTTAAGATAGGTGATTTAGGGACCAATTCTTGTCGCCAATGGTGGTGGTGGTGGTGGTGGTGGTGAGACTGTGAGAGAGAGAAAGAGAGAGAGAGAGTTTCCATCTTTATCGGGGGGAGAGGGTGCATAGACAAATTCTGATTTGGAAGTATTGTTAAGGCCAAAAGGAGAGGCCCTCTTTTGAATATTATTCTCCAATCATGTGAAGCTTCTTTTTGGGTCTTCGCATTTATATTTGAAAGAGAGCCCTTGCTTAGATACAATCATGACTGCCAATTCGTTGAGCTTTGCTTTATCCATCTTTCTTTCAAGTTTTGAACCCCCAAATGCTTTTTATTCATTATAACCCTGAGCCCACCATGCATGCATGACTCATTCTCTCCCCTCTCTTTCTCTTTCGTACCACGACTGCCTTTTTAACTCCGCAGCAGTGCCCCCCAAAATTATAAAGCTACCAGCTTAATTATTAGTAGTAGCTGTAAAATAGCCAAAAATTAGTGATATAAAGTTCTAAACTCGTCATATGAATCATGTCCACGCAGACATTTTGAAGTTAAAATATGTGTTCCATAAATATGATTTAGTGTATCACTATCTCTTCATAAATATGTACTTACACTCGATTTAGTAAAATGAAATTTAAAAGATGAATACCCGGGCAGAAGAACAAAAGATTTACGTCCTAACAAATGGAAAACCCAGTCATGATGAGGAGGGATAGATTCTGCTTCTAGTTACATTCTGCGAGAACTAGTGAGGGAATGTCGTCAACGTCCCTGTCAACTGCAATGATTTAGCAATCACAGAGCTATCGTGGGTTCTTATGGCTCTGTTCCCAACCAGTTTTGCATGGCGTTTACATTGGACGTACGTGAAATTTCACCGAAACAGTCTGCTCTCTCTTCTGACTATCTCCTTCTGCCCTGGAAACAAATTATTGACCACCTCGAATACACATGCTGCATGAATATATGTTTGTGCAACCATTTGAGCTAAGGATCAAATGAGAACAAGCCTACCATATATGTTTGTATAGTCAAACGCGAGAGATTTTGCAAGCGAACTAGCGGTGGTTTAGAAGACGAGATTTGAGCAAATCGCAAGGGCGAAACCATGGAGATGTTTGTTCTTCTACTACTAACTGGGCAGATTAAAGGAAAGATGGATGGGATGGGTGGACCCAAAAACTTTATGGTCTGCGGATTTGTTGGTGAGAGGGAGGGGGACGGGAACTTCTAAGCACAAAGAGAAAAGGAGAACTCAGAGCGAAGCTTTTGATGAAGATATTACGAGGGGGACCTCCCGCATCCTCTAACTCTTTTGTGGAATACAAGATTGTCCTCTCTCAACCGAGAGCTGGTCAAACCCTAGAGCGGAAAGACGAGGGAATTTATGCAACAGTGAAGCCCTACGGCATTAGGGTTTAGTTTGCATTCCGATATTTTCCCTGACGAAAATTTTATAAAAAAAAAAGGAGGGTGAAAGAAAGAGGAAAAAGAACGGAGTAGAAAAGGAGGCAAAAGCTCTCCTCTCATGGTGGGATGCCAAAATCTTAAGGGAGACGAGTGAAAGAGAGAATTGCATGTCATTCGGACATTCACCCAAATCCAGAATAAGGAATAAATGCCTTTCTTCTTTGACAATTAAAGCAAGATTCTCCGTCTCTACCCACATACTCAAACCCTACGAGAATTGCCGGTGACCATGTATGTACATTCGCGAGATTTGGTAAAAAATTAGCACCCGAGCACGACACGTGCTCGGAGCGATTGGCATCCAGCACGATTTCGCCATCACATACAACTATCGTCACTGCATACTTCATAGCTAACTTCATCGATTTACTGTGCAAAAATTCTCTTAATTTCTCCTGAAGAGGCAGCCGCATCACGTTAGAGTGGCAGCTGATGGAAGTCATACCCTCGTTAACACGAATACATAAGATAGGTTGATTCCTCAAATGATGTCGGTGGCCTTTCTTAATCTCTGGCCAAGTGGAGAGGACGTGTAGGCTTCTCCTCTCCCGGGACGAAACAACTTTGTTCAATTCAAACTCGAGATGTAGATGGAGTTTATCCAGAAGGTGAGAAAAAGGAGTTTGCAATCTAGAACGGGAGAGATTCCCACTGCGGTCCGCTTTGGACCACGCTTTGGCCAAGTACGTAGCTGTCTCGTCCGAGAACACATGGGGTCGTTATTATATTCAGGACAAAGCCAGGGTTCTAACTTTGAGGGGTGGTTAGATTTTCATTTTTTGCATAGACTATAAACCCCGGTGGGGAAAAAAGCGGGCTGGGATAGCGTTGAGGCCGTGTCTGCTTGAATTTCAAGCATCTTTATTGTGCATTGCCGAATTATTCTGCCCCCAAATGAATATATTCTCTTCCCAAGTGATCTTCCCGGGCCCAGCTTTTTGTGGTTCGCTTTTCTTCTCTTCCCTCTTCTTTCTTCTTTTTCTGTTTTTGTGGGTCTTTGCTCCACGGGAATCCATAGTTTGGTGCACACGATGGTTCAACACTTCAAAACTCTTATTGGGAATGAATCGCAGACACACCTGCGTTGTAAAAGAAAACTCCTTACTTTGTCATTTGGCATGAGTTACGATGGCGATAATCCTTTGTTCGTTATAAGGTCTAAGTGAACTGTATTTATTCCCCCTCCCCCCCGCCGTTCATTTGACTAATTTGACTTTACCGGGCGATGTGGAAAATAAGTTGCAATTAAAGAAGAAAAACTAGAGCATGAGATTGCTGTCTCGCCAAGAAAAGAACTTCAAGGTTTCTGAAATTTTTCCTCTGCTATGGAATGGAGATGGCCATCTGTCCTTATTCACGTACAAACACAACAAGATACAAAGCCTTAATGCTGCAGTCTTCCTCACGCTCTCTTCAGAAAGGGGGCGGTGACTCGCTGGAAGCATGTGAAGTATCGGATACACGGAAGGAGGGCCTACTGTGCCCCTGGACGTAGGATGACCAATAGTCCATTCCAAGACCTTGCTCATCAGTTAGTGTTCCATGTTTCCAAGGCACACATATTTTAGCTGCAACCACGAAGGAACTTTTTCACTAAGGCAAAGATCTATAGGAATTTGGAGAACGGAGCAAAATGCAATCCAAAAGTTCACTGATAAAGAGGGGGCAAACACGGCTAAATTATTGCGTCAGAGTAGAAAATTTGAAGCAGTATGCTAATTCAAGATGATCGCTAGCACCCATAACTATGTATCAGCATTCAGGGATACTCACTTCCAGATATTCATCAATTCCATACTTTGAGCCTTCCCGTCCAAGACCAGACTGTTTGACGCCACCAAAAGGAGCCACCTAAAGCCAACCAAGTAACTAGACATGTAAACCATCTTTCCTATCAAATGCTAAATGGAGGAGACAGAACGATACCAACCTCTGTTGAGATTAATCCTTCATTAACCCCAACTAAACCATACTCAAGGGCCTCAGTGACACGCCATGTACGTTGAACATTGCTGGTGAAAACATAAGCAGCCAGACCTTTGACACGTGCATGAGAGAGAGAGAGAGAGAGAGAGAGAGAGAGAGAGAGAGAGAGAGAGATTGTCAGTATTGACAAGTAATTTCACATGGCTTACTGCAGATTCATCTGATGCACAACTAAGGCAAGATGAGAAAACCAAATGTCATTCATTTAAAGTCTCCTCAGAATACAAAGTTAGATCATATATATTACTGCAAGTCAAAGAAAGACCTGCATTGGTGTCATTAGCCATGCGGATAGCTTCTTCCTCAGTTCGAAAACGCACAAGTGGAGCTACTGGCCCAAATACTTCCTCTCTGAGAAAGAGACAAAATGCATAAACACTAGCATGGAAGGTCTAGAACAGTCTTAGACAACTATTAAAAACCAATTCACTGCAAAGCTTACAAAATTTGCAGAAGAAAAAGGAAAAACAAGACTCACCAACATCCTTTTGAAAGAGGTTAATGGAATATTAAAGAAATGTGGATAATCTACTATATGCATTGAGATATTTGGCAAAAAGTGACACTGATCTAAGCACTGTGTTTCCCAAGGAGCCTTCAGAAAAATCATTCCTCAAGACCAATACCACCGGCCTGTCTCAGAAGTCCACAAAGGATCTGAAGCACTTAAGTTTCATAAAGGATTTGGATTCCCATATTTGCTCATCAAGCATTGTCTCTAATCGATTGATTCTCTTTTTATAACAAGATAGAACAGCAACAACAATGTACAATCACCAAATTCTGTAGCATAACTTTGGCTAATAAGGATGGACAAAAACTATATTTGCTTCCTGAGTTTTCACTTCAGTTGATACTGTTAGAAGAGTTGCCCAACTTGCTTGCCCAGGAGAACTATATGGCGAAGAGATAGTACTGCTAACTATTCAAAAGAAGCTGTAGACGAGAGAGATATCCGTCTTCCGTAACTCTCAACTATTATGCCAACTATACTACATGTACAGTTTTGTGTATAATGCCTAATATCTCATGCTTGCAACAGTTATTCTGAGATAAGATTGAGTCGGCTAAAAAGTCTACCTTGAAATAAGCATCTCGCTTGTTACATCACCCATAACTGTAGGCTCATAAAAAGTCCTTCCCAGGCTATGTCTTCTGCCTCCAAGAAGGATTTTGGCACCCTTCATTAGCCATGATAGGATGCAAGAAGTTAATCTATGCCATGAACCAAAGACTATATGAATGACAATTCAAGACTCCTGATTAACGTGCCTTGTGAATAAGATTGTTGAATTTATCCGAGCAGAGCCACAAAATATTATCGTTTGCTCAAAATCAATGCTAATACCAATGCCTGTTCACCTACATGCATAATAACTACGATAACCTCTCTTTGTGCATGCATTAAAAGTACCAAGTTACTGTACCACAAAAATGAAAAGTTCAGTATATTACAGAACATACAATCCAGTGGTTCAACTTAATTTTATTTCCTCTACCACCAATCCTGAGTTTTTGTTTTCTAAACTTTCTTCCCGATTACAATCAAAGTCAGGCGGCTCAACAAGCCTTTGTGCCAATTCTGTGATGATAATCTTGTTTAAGCTTTACTCATTGAGCCTTTGTGCCAATTCTGTCATGATAATCTCGTTTAAGCTTACTCATTAATTAGAACAGTTCCATTAACGACATCAACATTTCTGGGGCATAAGTCATAGCTTCAACATCTTTTCCCCTCGGTGCTAAAATCAATGCAAGAAGTTATTCTATGCCATGAACCACCTTTTAAGGAGGCACAAGACAAGCCAAAGACCATATGAATGACAATTCAAGACTGCTAAAAACGTGCCTTATGAATAAGATTGTTGAATTTATCCGAGTAGAGCCACAAAATAGTATCGTTCGCTCAAAATCAATGCTAATACCAATGCCTGTTCACCTACATGCATAATAACTACTATAACTTCTCTTTCTGCATGCATTAAAAGTACCAAGTTACTGTACCGCTAAAATCAAATGTTCAGTACATTACAGAACAAACACTCCAGTGGTTCTACTTAATTTTACTCCCTCTACCACCAATCCTGAGTTTTCTAATCTTTCTTCTCTGCTATGATTAAAGTCAGGCGGCTCAGCAAGCCTTTGTGCCAATTCTGTGATGATAATTTTGTTTAAGCTTACTCATTAAATAGAACAGTTCTGTTAACGACATCGACATTCTATCGCTTCATCGTTATAGCTTCAACATCTTTTCCCCTCGGTGCTAAAATCATAAGTATCCAACAATCAACGCAAAACAGGTCAAATATGGAGTTTCCTGAACTTCAAACTTGGTATACCTAGTACTCCGAGAATCATGCCACAGATCCTGTACATGTTCTAAACAATAGGTGACTTCCGCTTAATGATCAGATTGATCTACCCTATCCAAGAAATACAACTCAATTTGAGGGTGGTGAGTAGGGGTAGCAATTTTTGACACGAAAACGATAACTCAACATGAAATAGAAGGTTTGGGTTGAGGTTAATCGTGTTTGGGTCAATTTTGCGTCAACTCTCGAGACACTTTAGTAATTGTGTCCTGTTCGTGTCCAACCCACCAGAAACGAAATTGACCTATATAACCCGTTTAAATGAACGTGTTTAGACACAATTAACTACGAGACTATCCTTTCATGTTATTCACTTGAAGATTTTATGCCTATAGTATTTCAATGACTGAGCATATTAGTTAATTTGATTTTATGATATTTTGTTGACAGATTATTGCAATTTGTAGATAGATTTTAGGAAAGATTGAGGATATTTCGTGTCACGTTCGTATTCAGTGGATTGATTTCGTGTCATGGTGGGTCATGCAATTGTGTCGACCTGCCAACCCATCATTTAATCTGTTAAATGGGACGTGTCGTGTCAACCGTTAATTTTGGGGTCGTGTCCGTGTCACGAAGGTCGACACAATTAACTAATCATGCTGTGTTCGGGTTGACCTGTTCTGTAGCATACCCTTATGTTGACACGAACACAAATTGCCACACCTAGTAGTGAATCACCTCATTAAATAGTTGAAAAAGAATTGGACGAAGAAAGAAAACTCTGGAAATTATGGAGGACACTAGATGCAGCTAATTACTCACCAATTGACAATAATTTTGGCTCATGGACACAGCATATGCAAGAAATAGGAAGCCATCCGCACTTGACGAATGGACACTGGTTTCTGTAATGAAACTACTAGAACGTCCAGGAAACATTTTTTGAAAACTCATCATCGTCAAGCTCGTGAAGAGTGTACTTTTAAGTGCATATGGCACTAAAAGGAAGAGATGCATCCGAGAGAAACCTTGAATGAAAGTTGTGCCTTTTCTATTCAATTTGTATGCTCGTGGTCATGGTTTAAATTGATCATACCTGCAACTCTACAATCAACTATCAAAAGAGAGTCGAAAAGAACCTTGGATATAGCATCTTCAACAAATGATTCAACCTGCAAGGTCACAAAAGGAAAGAAATGGCATGTGAGTTGTCTGTTAAACGAGGCTCACTGATATCAATTGGCTGGAAATTTGCATATGAAGCAGGACAGCAGACCTTGTGTAGTAAAGCTTCATTGATTAGAGGACCCTGTTAAGAAAAGGATGACAACTATTATTTTCGAGAATATTTACTGACACAGCATCATGAACAGACACTCGAAATCTATTTACTGGTGAGATGGCAGATTCATACGATTAAACAAGGAGCATATCATCTCCAATCTAAGCAGCACTCATATCTAATCAATAGTCTAAATAGTGTGTTGTATGAAGTAGGCACGCACTAGGAAAGGTAGCAAGGGGTAAAGATGGTACTTTGAAAGATTTAAGAGTGGAAGTTTGTCTACCTGAGCAACGCCTTCACTAAAGCCATCGCCAACTTGCAGATTCTGAACAGCTTTGGAAAATGCAGTCGCAAATTTTTCATATATGCCTGCAAGAAAGATTGAAGTTAACCTAATGTTATACCAGGGAAGTGGTACCAAAAACTGGTCAGGAGCTTCAGTTGTCGTTACAAAAGCAGTTGGATTGGAAATCGAGGTTCTGTAGCTTCAGCTAGGTAAATCTAAATAAGATATCCCACACTATAATTTGCTGCAGATTAATTTCTAGATTTCTTTCAATCAGTCAAAAATTAGAACACCATGCATCAAGTGATAATTGCAGTATGTCGTCACAATACCTTCTTGTACAAGGACTCTGTTTGCGCAAACACAGGTCTGTCCGCTGTTGCGAAACTTTGCAGCAAGCTGCACGAAGTGAAAGCATTAGTTGAAGGGGGGAAAGTTGTACGTCTGTCATGTCCATCCTTAGCAGGAAAAGTGTCATTTACGCCCCCAAAAGAATTAAAGAATAATCAGCATGATATGGGGATCAAAACCAAACTAATCTAATGCTTCACTAACATACAGTTCCTTTTACAGCAACATCCACATCCGCGTCATCAAACACTATGCATGGTGCATTCCCGCCAAGCTCCAGAGATACCTGCAAAGTAGAATCGAAGCCTGTTAGAAGCACTCCACTAAACTTATGCATAGGCAGTCACGTGAAAGCTTGTAAACACCTTCTTAACCGTTGCAGCTGCGCCAGCCATCAACTTTTTCCCGACAGCTGTTGAGCCAGTAAATGTAATTTTCCTGACCTGAGAAGAATGATAAAGAACATACTATCTCTTTAAGTCCGTATCCTAGCATGTCACTCAGAAATGACATCAGAAGTCACATTCTTAATCAGTACAGGAGTTGGGGAGGACCTGAGAGCTTTCCAGTAGAGAATCTCCTATATCAGAAGCCTTCCCCATAACTACATTAACAGCACCCTAAATAATGGGAAAATAGGGAAAAATCAAGAAAAAAAGATTTATTCAGTTCAATAGTGACAAGAAACAGTCAGACAGGTAGATCCCTTTTAAAAACACAGTAATACCGAGAACTAGGAGATGACTTGGTCAGATTCACCGACAAATATTGCCTTAATACTGCCATGGTTTAAATTGATATTTGACAAAGAAAAAAAGGGGTCCATGGAAATCAATCAATGAAGAGGAAACGAAGCAGTACCTTCTTCCATCAATAAGATGCAAACTATGTGCAAAGTGAAAGCTTTACACATACAGGTGAACAGCCATTATGCAGTAATAGTAACTGATCAGTAATGACGCTTCTTATCACCATCATACCATAATGAGCACGTAGCATTACTCAGCTTAATGGTGAACCTAAAAATTAACTTCTAGGGTTCTAGCTCAATCCAAATTCACTATTCACCTTCAAGCTTCTCTAATGTGGTGTACTGAAAGGAAGATGAACACGCATGGCATCGAGATGTAAATTTGCGTCTATACATGAGAAATGTAATTCTTGAAAATTAATTCAGTGCAGTATAATACAAATGCCAGGTACCGGTGGTATTCCAGCCTGAAGGGAAAGCTCAGCTGCAGCTAAAGCCGTAAGAGGTGTATGCTCCGAGGGCTTTATAACAACTGTACAGCCACAAGCAAGAGCTGGGCCAACCTGATACGATCAAGAAACATCTTTGAGGAGGATGACCATGTTCTCAGTTATTCACTTCTCTTAGACATAGCTGATTCAAGCTATGTACTAGAAAGAAAATTTTGCGCCGAATAAACCTACGAGGGACATACCTTTCGAGTAATCATAGCCAATGGAAAGTTCCATGGAGCAATTGCACCAACAACACCAACAGGCTGCAGATCAGAGAACAGGCATGTCATCAACCAAAAAGCATAATTCCCCTTGAATTCAAAATGGACACCCACACAGTAAAAGTCAACAATGAAAATAATGTAATTGCATACTTTTATATATCAATACAACGATAAATATCTTCGTCTGGCAAGTCATAGAAAAGATAATTAGATAAATCAGTACCTGCTTCAACACAAGCAATCGACGACCAGCTATTGGTGCCGGAATGATATCTCCATATACACGTTTTGCCTCCTCGGAGAAGAACTCAATAAAACTAGCCCCATAGCCAACCTGTCTCATTTATCAAACAAAGCTACATTAACATCCAATCCTGACGGTAGAGTTTAATGCTTAAATCTCCATTTTGTAAAAGTCCGCATCATATACCTCTCCAATGGCCTCCTTCAATGGTTTCCCTTGCTCTAAAGTTATCAATTGTCCCAACTCTTCTTTGTGGGAGATTAGCAAATCATACCTTGACATAAATGGTAACAGTGCGTCAAATAGAAAGGACTTACAAAAGATATTTCTTGATCCCATAGATAAAGGCAATATCAAGCTATAAAACCTTGATTGTGAAGTTCCAGACAAAACGAGCAATAGTTTCACTAGTAGAAAGTCTGTTCGGTACGGAGGTGACCCTATTGCAGTAGGGGTGTGTCTATTTTATGATATGATGCAGCTCACGTGTTTGGCAACGTGCATGTTGAAGTTTGAACACCTTGAAAGTTGAAACCGGGCAGAGCAGCTTAAAATTGCGGGCGGAATGCTGCAGCTTAGAGATGCTGCAGTTGCAAGCAAACATCTTACAAAAGCCGTAGCACATCGCCCCTTTTCACAAGTGCAGCTTTTGCAAAGAGTTGTACCCAAAACACAATAACTTAAGTTTCCAAAGTACTTAATCTCTATGCCCACCTTTTTATGATGAAATAAGTTATACGATCCAGTCCAAGTTACTGGGCTTCCAAAGAAGGATGCCTCGTGTAAGCTAAGGATTGCTCAACGCATTGTTCAAAGTTTTTTTAGATGTTGCTTTGTGCAACATGATATTGTTGTAAACTCTTTTACTACAGAAATGATCACTATTCTTTATACTTTCTCCTTTTGATGAAGTGTCTGCTATATTAATAGTCTGCTGACTAAAGGTAGCCAATCACACAGACACACACGCGCGCGCGCGCGCGAGGTAAAAAAGAGGGCATGTACCATTTTCTTAGATGTCTGCTCCTCTCAGCCGCAGTCACTTTGCTCCAAGCTGCGCAAGCAAAGACCAACATTCCAAAGCCTTAATAATTAAAGTTATGGAAGCATGCTGCAGCAAAAGCTGAGAAAACCAAATCAAGTTGCAGCTAGAAACTTAATGCCAGGCATATTTACACCAATTAACTTTAGTGGCAAAGTCTTCAGTGATCTTTCCAGATAATTTAGATTAGTTGAACCGAAAAATGGGCTGCAAAGGAATTACTTTCCTGAAGGGTCAGTAATTTTGCAGAGGGATTCCTAGAATCCGATATCTGACAACTTGTCATGAGACAAACAAATCCATTTTAAAGCTCTTTTACCTAGAATATCACAAAGGTCACCTTGTGAAGACCCTTACATTGGAATGCATCATAGGCAGAAGATATTGCGTCTTTTGTCTCTCGTGAGCCCATGCAGGGTACTTCTGTGATAACTTCACCAGTTGCTGGATTGTGCACCTGCCACGATATAACTCAGGAATGATATCGGGCCACAAGTAATAGTTATGACTTCCATAGGATAGTCTAACAAGCCAGCCTCAAGGACATGTCCTTGATCACTCTTATCAATTTGAATAACTACCAAAGAAAATATTGGGAAGGCAAGTGCGACTTGTAGTGTAAGTAATACCTTGATAGTTTTGCCATCATATGCATCAACCCATTTCCCTCCAATGAGCCCCTGACTCCGTAATAGGCCTGAAGTTTTCAACCGGGCAGCGAGACTTTGGGCAGCCATGGTAATCTAAATGCAAAAGGAAACACGTGCGATTACTTGATAAGCAGTCAAAATCAGATGAAAACGAAAAATTATGAACCAGTTAATTTCAAGCTCCTCAAAAACGTATTGTAATGAGCTGTTCCTCGTTTCTCAATTGGTTATTTTTCACTCTTGCAGATAATTCTTTTGTAAATGCCGAACGAGCGTTTTTAAGTCCAAAAGTGCACTTCCATCGAATCCACCGTCTCTCCCCCCAGAGGGCATTTAGCCTTCGAAGGGGGATGAAGGCGGCTCACTCACGGGGGCGCTTGATTGGTGAAAAAAGAAAGCGATTCAGCTCGAGATGCAGCTCGACGACGAACCGTCAACTATCAAAAGCTCCGCCTACAAAGGGATGCTAAAAAGAAACGAGGAGAAAGCAGTCGAAAGGAAAGGACAAACCAGCTCCTCAAGCGGCATTCAAAAGAAAGTAGCGACTCAAGCACAAAGCACCATTCGGGGGGTGGGTGGGGCGGATGCAAGTCACAAAGCACCGACAGAAACTGAGAAGAGGGGAAGGAGCGAGTACGAGAGTGGCGATGATCGACAGACAGAGATAGAGACCGGGAAAAGAGAGAGAGAGAGGATGAATCGAGATTCAGACCGTAGAGCAAACTCCAGGAAGCGCGGTGACGATTCCAAAAAGACCGAGCAGTGAAATATAGAAGAAGAAGAAGAAGAAGAAGAAGAAGAAGAGGAAGGGAGGGAGAGAGGGAGGGAGGGAGGGGGCGTGCCTGGCGGGAGAGGGGAGGAGAGGAGGAGGAGGCGCGCATGGAAGGCAAGTGTGCGGCGGAACAACAGATGGTGCTGAGCTTCGCGGATCGAGCTGCCACTCCGGCCATCCCCATCTCTGCCCTGCTATGCTGTCTCTCTCTCCACTAGACCTGTTAAATAGTGTTAAATAAGTAGGTCAGATCGGGTTTGGACAGGATCACGAATGATTTGACCTAAATTGACTCGTTAATCCGTTTACGACTCATTTATGTGCAATGTAATTTTCTTAATTCATACCCTATTCGATCCATATCCGACTCTATTCGTATTGTTAAAACACTTCTATATTTAATTAAATATAGGAAAATTCATACTTAAACTGATATTAGAATGTAAAGTAAGCGAGCATGAGATTGAGAGAGGGCGAGAGAGATAAGTTGAGTTTAAATAAATTATAAATCCTTTTATGATCTATTTACGATCCATTTAATATCCATATTATTCCTATACCCATTTATGATTCATTTACTAAATATAATTAACTCATTTATGATTTATTTACTAATATATGAATTAAGAAATAGATTTATGACCCATTTTGATAGGACTACGATGTCTATCTCTTTCTTCAAGTTTCCAAGCTCACGGTCAGAGTCACCAGCAGACAAAAAAGGGCCGTCGTTCTCATACATGCCAAATTGAAATGGAAAACAAATCTAAAAAATTGCGATTTATTGTCAATCATCCTTACGCTCCTCCTTTGTGTTCTCTTGATCAAATGGAGCCCACCCGGGAGCAATAATCCTTAGTTTTCCTTGAATCAATTGTCGAATTTACAATTTTTTATTTCTTAAATGTGGCCGTTGGGCGACATTTTCCAAAATCGATTCCATGGATAAGATCTTTCGGATTTAAATCCAATGGCCCATATTTTGTACATAACCGGTCTAGCAAAACACTCTAATGCGATCATGGATTTTAGTCAAATCAAATCAATACGGCTTCCGACCAAAAACAAAATCAACACAACCGAAAGTTGCTCGAGGCCCAGCGACAGTAGCACTCCGCTCCTTTTGTCAGGCACCGCAAGGGTGTACACCACACGTTGTACTTGTCTCCGATTTCTTAACCAAGATTCCTTAACCAAGACTTAAATCAAGAGAAGCATAACTTAGACACCTGAGGTTGTTTTTTTTTTTTCTATTATTCGTATTTAATGTGTTCAATCTAGTGGTAAAAGGGTAGCTTCTTTTCCATTTACAGCCGTGTATGTCATGAGATGGAGTTTTTCAATTCTTGTTGTGAGTACTCTAAAAGCTCTCATGTTTGTATTGTGTGACTGTGGCTAGGGGTGTCAAAACCAAACAATATACCCGAACCGGAACACGAACCAACCCGACCCGATCCGAAGTTTTGGGTATTTTTGGGTCGGGTCAACTTCGTGTTCGGGTATTAGCTAAGCAAATGGGTATCTCAATGGTTTCGGTTCGGTTCGTGTTTAGAACACGAACCGAACCGAAACACATATATTTTTATTTTTAGAACCGAAACACATTCACTTTGTAGCACTGTCGTTCAACTTCGTCCTGGCTTTTTTGACGTGGCATGAACAAAAAGTTTTTGTTCTTTTGCTTGGGTTTACTTGTGTGTGGATCGGTTCAATGTATGCTGTGATTGGGATTTTGGTTGCTTCTGATCGTGCGCTCTTTTCCATCATCCTCATGTGCTGAACATTAGGAGCAGCAGCACATAGAGAGAGAGAGAGAGAGAGAGAGATAGAGAGAGAGAGAGAGAGAGATGGTAAGGCTCGGGCCGCCGAACGGGATGATGCATCAACGTCGTCCCAGTGAGCAATGAGAGGTACTAGCAAATAATAAGGGAGTGGGGGAGGAGGCGATGGGTGACCACTTTATTCCTAGCAAAAATATTTCAAACGACTTCTGTTCTTTTTAATAAATTTCCAGTCTCATTAGAAATGGCAGTCGGCCTTTTTCATGGGAACAGTTTAGGGTGCGAATGACAATGTTTCTAAGCCTAGGAACTATTTCTACTCAGAAATGATTCTTTTTGATTTTGTGCCCGGAAACAATTTCTAAGCATTTAAAGGCGTTTGGTAACTGTCCAAAATTTCTATTCCTGAGATAGAAAAGAACATAAATGCGTTTGGTAACTACACAAAATTTCTTTTTATTAATAATATTTTAATAATATTTTGAATTGTTTAATATATATATTTTTTCTTTCTTTCTTCCTTGGCCATGGCTGGTCGCCGGCGACCAGCCACAGTCCAGGGCGTCGCGGTCATCGCCGCCGCCCGGCCACCGCCGGGCTCGCCGTCGCGACCCACGGCGAGTCGGCTCGCCAGACGGCCAGGCGAGCTCGCCATGGGTCGCGCGCGAGGCTCGGCCTCGCCAAGATTTGGGTGAGGCCAAGCCTCGCCGTCGCGACCCACGGTGGGCCGACCTCGCCGTCGTGACCCACGGCGAGGTCGGCTCGCCGTGGGTCGCGACGGCGAGGCTCGGCCTCGCCCGATCTCGGGCGAGGCCGACCTCGCCATGACGGACGGCGAGCCGCCTCGCCCGGGGGCGAGGGTCCGGCCTCGCCTCGCCTCGCAGGGAGACCCTCACCCTCCGTGGGCGGCGGCGAGGGCCGTGATGCCCTCGCCGGCCCTGGGCTGTGGCCGATCGCCGGTCACCGGCCGCTGGCATCTGGCCACAACCCAAGAAGAGCAACACAAAAGAAGAAAACAAAAAAAAGAAAAAAACTAATTCTCAAAATTGTGCCGAGAAACAAGAAGCAACTTTTTTTTACTTCTTGTTTCTCTTCCAAAACTGTTTCTGGGCACAAATTTTTGCAAAAATGTGCCCGGGAACAAAAAGTTTACCAAACGCATTTCTGTTCGCAAACTATTTCTGGGAACAAAAGAACAGAAATTTTCACTCTTTGGCACGTTACCAAACGGGCCCTTAGAGAGAAAGAGAGATATTGCATCCAAGGATCAAGTAATTGATAGAACCAGGTCGCACTATTGGGACACAAGAAAAGATTCATTTCATGGTACCCTCCCAGTCCCGGACCTTAGTTTTCGTCGTCGAGAGCAATCGATGTTCGCGACGGGCCTTTTTGAGCTCCTCGTTTGATCGGGACGAATTGACCGGAGATCTTTCCTGTAGAATGGCATCGTATGTGGATACACGGAAAAAATATCTTAACTGCTCCAGTCTTGGAATGAACGGATTAGCGCTCAATTTATTGCCGATGGGGATTGGTGGAGGCATTGGGTAATTCCGATAACTTTCAAGCAATTGTAATATCGTCAAATATTAGCTTGAACCCAAAAAGACCCGAAACCCGACCCGGTTTTTGCGTTTCGGGTCATGTTCGGTTCGGGTCAAGAGTCCACATATCTTTTATGATTCGGGTCGAGTAGGGTAGCGTGGAGACTAGACCCAACCCGATCCATTGACACCCCTAGGTGTAACTTAACCTTAATTTATAATAAAAATATAAAACACGAACCCGAACCGAACCCGACCCGACCCGAACCGACACGATCGTGCGGTTATATCATGTTCGGGTCTTGTTTTGGGTCGGGCCAATCACACATATTCATTGTTTCGGGTTGGGTATCATGAAAATCCAACCCGACCCGACCCATTGACACCCCTAACTGTGGCATATCTTCATGTGAAGTGATTTCATAACTACTAACTAGTATATTGATGGGATGGGCTCAAGTACTTTTTTTTTTTTGCTAGAAATTAAACTTTAGATTGCAAACAAAGCAATTACAAAAAGGAAGCATTACCTACATTAGAGCGAAATATAAAAGAAGACTCTACTAGTACAATATTTTTAACTCTAGAAGGGAAATCATGGTAAAGAAAAGAGGATGTGGTGCCTATATGATTAGAGGCCCAATTTGCAAGTACATGAGCAGCTCCATTCTTGGATCTACGGGTCCAGTCCAAGCTCCAACCTGGATTGTGCTGAAATTGAAAGCGAAAATCTGCGACGAAAGGTTGAATACTCCAAGGGCAAAGACCATGGGCTCAAGTACTTTAGACCTTTGGGGTGACGAGTGACGAAGAAAAGTAAAAACTCAAATTGAACATGAGGATCTCATCATAACGCTCGGAAATTATTCTAGTACTAATTCCCTTCCTCACTCTTTTGCCAATCACAAAAAGAAAAAATCAATCTGTTTGGGCGTGAACCATATATTTTAAGACATGATTGGACTTGAGCAAAGGACTTTAGGTGCCTGCTGAGTCGAAAATATATTTTAAGACACGGCCAGTGCAGATGACATGATTGAACCGTATATTTTTAAGACATGATTGAATATATGGTTCAATCATGACTTGACCAGAAATCAATTTCTGGCGACGCGGCCAGTGTGGAGGACGGCAGCCGGTGTCGGGCAGCAGCGGGAGGTAAGCTACGGCCGACAGCGGGAGGTGGGCGGCGGCGGCAGGAGGAGGGTGACCGGCGGCGAGAGAATATGGCCGGTGGACGGCTGGTGGCGGCCCACGGCGATCGACGGCGAGAGGCGGGTGGTGGTGAGAGGAGGGAGGTCGGTGGCGGAAGACAATGGCCGGTGGACGGTGGTGGGAGGCGGGCGACGGGGGGAGGCGAGCGGCGACGGGAGGAGGGCGGCCGACGGCGGGAGACGGTGACCGGTGGACGGCGGCGGGAGACGGTGACCGGTGGACGGCGGCTAGCGGCGGGAGACAACGAATAGGTGGAGGCAGCAGCCGGCAAGTAGGCGGCGGGTGGGTGACCGGCTGGTAGCGAGGGCGAGCGATGAGAATAATTTTTATTTTTCATTTTTGTTCCAGAAAATAGAAAAGCATTTCTATTTCAAACCTATTTTTGAAATCAAAATTTGTTCCAGAAATATAAAAGTGAAATTGGGTTATCAAACGGGTTTTTGTTCAAAACCTGTTTCTAGAACAGAAAAATAGAAACAAAATGGTTATTATCCACGGCCTTCGCAGCCAACACCGACTAATCCAAGAACTACAACCTCTCGCATGCTTACAAGCTTCGTATGCAGGTGAATTGATTTGTTGATTCCCGCCTGTGAACCTATTAACCACAGAAGCAAAGGATGACTAGGCAAGAGAGATGATATGAATATTTCAAACGAGAAATTCATTGCCGAAACAATTTACTTAGGAAATGATGATGACGGACTACTATTACGTCAGAATGGAAATAGTATTTAATATAACTAATAAATAAAGTCTCCTTACTTCTAAAAGTCATAAAATTGTCTTAAAATAACGGGATAAGTGTACAGAAAGTCCAAAAACTTGTCACGAAGATGCAATTAAGTCCTGAAACTTTCAAAAAGTGCAATTAAATCCTAAAACTTATCAAGTTTGTACAATCAAGTCATTTCATTAACTCCATCCAACTTGACAAACGAAAAATGCTAACAAATTTTAGGACTTAATTGCATCAACTTGATAAGTTTTAGTACTTGATTGCACAAACTTTACAAGTTTTAGGACTTAATTGCACATTTAAAAAGTTTTATGACTCAATTGCATTTTCGAGACAAGTTTTATGATTTGATTACAATTTTTGAAAGTCTTATAACTCAATTGCACTTTCGTGACAAGTTTCGGGATTTACAAAGCACTTATCTCTAAAACGATTGAGCTCCTTCTGGCGTTAGAGGATGTAAAAGTTGTGCTTAAAGGACATTTGAGAGATCTATTTATTTTAGAATTATCGGGTTGGGATTAGCTAATGGATTTTGAGGAAACCAAATTAAGTGGAACTCAAGAATAAGATCAACCTGACAAGGATCCTTAATGTTTTAGATTGAGAGCACATAAGGACGTTTAGATTGGATGATAGTTACATACAAATAGATAAATAAAAGATTAAGGGGAAAAGGACACTGGAGCTTACTTTGGTGCAAAAACTTTTCAACGGATTACTTTAGTGCCACTTTTAAAAAAAAAAATTACTTAATTGCTAATTCCGATTTACGATGCCGGAAATTTGATGTGACGATTTTTTTTTATCAATTTTTCTCACCTACGCGGCTTGCTGGTATGCCCTGTCAGCATTAATAGTCTCAAACAACGTTGTTTACATGTTTATCCCAAACATAAACCATAATTTGGACAAATCAAGCCATTTCCCAAAATTTTTCAAGCCCAAATCTTACAAACCAAGCACGATATATCGAGGAGAGAAAGACTAGCTTAAGCCATCAAGGATCGAACCTGACAAGACAATCGCGAAAGTAATTTTGAGGATTGGATCTAGCAAGTGAAGTAGTGGCGGCCACGAAAAGAGCTCTTCAGCGATGGCATTCAAAAACAGGCGTGACAGAAAGCAATGGTTGTGGTGGTTTTTTGGTGACTTGAGGACAATGAAGAAGACCTAAGATAGTTTAGTATCTCGAACAAACACTCATCGAAAGAGAGTTCAACTTCATCATTCCATCGAACACCTCCCTTGCAAACTCCTCTTTGACCAGCGCTCTCATAGTGGGAAGACTCATCGAAATAGTCGTGCCAAAGGGCGCTCAAAGAATCGCCAAGTTTTCACCCGTTTTCTCCATCCGAAACACTTGTCCAAATCTGGTTGGTTCTGTCGCCACGACTCTAGATTTGGTCGGCCAAATCTAATTGGCCAAGTGAAGGCAAAGAGAGGACAACCTGCCTTGTCAGTCATGGAGCAGCTATGGCAGCCACGGACTGTGATTGTAGAAGGGGGGCAACCCGTCTTATCAGTCATACAGCAGCAACAGTGGCCATGGACGATGGCTCATTCGATGCCTTGGACGACGACACGATGTGTTTTCATTATCTGTGTAGACTTGATTGGCTAAAGATGTAGATGGCGTGGGACTTTCCGTTTCTTATAAAAAAAATTCATATAAAATCACGTAAGTTGATATTTAAGTGATCGATTTTAATCAAATTTGATACTTCAGTGGCGATGCACGAGGTCAGGTCTAGATAATCTAATGTTCACTTCTCTGGATTTTGGGCCCAAACGCCGTGCCTGGGGATCAACGAAGGATCAATGTCCGTAGCCCGATTCCCCCGATGTCCCCTGATTCTTGTTCTTCTTAATAATTATTTATTTAGAATAATTTTTTGGGAAAAGGCAATTTTAGCAAATTCAGGAAAAATTCTGACAGGACAGCACGATCACGTTCATGTAGTAAACACGAGAAAAAAAGAAAAGCCCTAGGGGTATGCAACCGGACCGGATTTACCTAAACCGAACCGGCACCCGAAAAACAAGTCGGAGTGGTTCCATTTTTGGGAACATGTTTTGCCCAAGTAAAAACCAACCGAACCGATTTTAGAACCGGTTTTGAGATAATGTAAAAAAGTAAAAACCCTAGATCACGTTACCCTACTTCTCCGGTTTTAAAATCGGTTTCCGATTTAATATTGGGATCTGCTTCACAACTATGAAGCGAAACAATACTGGCTCTTAAAGTCATATAAATATTATGTGATTCATATGAGATATATAGATATTTCTCAGTAAGAGCATATGCTTTATTGTAAGTCTCTTGATTTTCCTTTCAAGATATTTCATTCGAAAACGAAGTGGGAGTTTTTCATCATTGGCGCAAAATAAAGAGCTAAACATGTTGAAGCATTCCCGAAAATGTGACTCTTAAAGATTTATGCGATGGACTATGTCTTGCCACATAGTACTTTTGGATTGTTGATTTTGATGGATTGTAATTTCAATTGCTCATTTTGAGGATTGTTACTTTTGGCGGATAGTGATTTTTGTTATTCAAAAAGCCCGTCACTTTATCTTTTCCGCTTCTCTGTCTTCCTTTACCGACGGTCGACAACACTCCCCGCACCGCCCACACGCACTCACCACGGAGACGACATAGCAACCATACTCCTTCACAACAACGATAAGTCTCTGTCGATGCAAAGAAACCGTCCCTCCCAATCCATTCTGAACGGTAGTTCCAGTTCCAGTTCCAGTTCCAGTTCCAGATCTCCCTCTCTCTAGCTCGTTCGAACGCGCACGCGAGAACCGGAACGTAGCCGGAAAGCCACAGAGGAATCGAGCGCGAAAATGGCGAGGAAGGCGCTGCTGATCGGGTGCAACTACGCGGGCACCAAGGCCGAGCTCAAGGGCTGCATCAACGACGTCAACAGGATGTACCGCTGCCTCGTCGACCGCTACGGCTTCTCCCAGGACGACATCACCGTCCTCATCGACGCCGACGACTCCTCCCTCCAGCCCACCGGCAAGAACATCCGTCGCGCCCTCTCCGATCTCCTTCGATCCGCCGAGCCCGGCGACTTCCTCTTCGTCCACTACAGCGGCCACGGCACCCGCCTCCCCGCCGAGACGGGCGAGGAGGACGACACCGGCTACGACGAGTGCATCGTCCCCTGCGACATGAATCTCATCACCGGTACGATCGCTTCGATACCCTCCCTTTTTTTCCTTTCTTTTATGCGGATCGCATCCATTCTCTTGGCCTCTAGCTATTACTTGACATGATTCACCAGAATATCGCATGCTTCCGCCTCTAGCTACTGAACACACATCATCCAAGGGCAGAAGAGATGGGGATCGGTTTTACGAAATGGAAATTACTCGATCGGAACCAAATCGAGCGTGTTTTGACCTTTTTATTCGATCCCTGTGCAAGTGGATCGTCTTCGATCGAGGATCCAGACTTATTCATCCGAGCAATTTCAATATGCTTGAATCGATCTGTGTTCATCAAATCTCTGATATAGCAGTACCAGATTTGGACCCTGTCGGTCGGTAAAGCTTGCTCCGTTCTTGTGTGATCCGCTGTGTTAATGTCGACTATGCGGATGAACTCATTCAATCATGTCTAGTCTAACCTATGGATAGAGTGAGCTGGTTATGATAGAGAGAAGAGAGAAGGTCGTAATTCTCTGTGCCCCCTGCGGACTTGCGAGGTGGCTCCCAGTTACTTCAGACATTGCAAAACGACGTGTGATTAACATCTTCTCTCATGGAACAGTGGCTGCAGCTGTATTGCTATATAGCATGTGCCGCATATCATCATAGCCTTAGTTACTTAGATCGACCCTGCGTTTGTTTAATTTTGTATTTGGCTCTAGGCTAGATTGCTTTTAAAGCTTGCTCTCCATGAGATTGACTGTCGGGCTAGGTTTCTGATTTGATCTTTAGAAGGCACCGTGTGAAGACAGCTTGATAATTAGTTCCTGAGTTTTGTGATTTCATTCGTTCACTTGTGTCATGTTCTTAATCATTAGTTGTGAAGTCCATCCGATTCTAGTCACCAAAGCTGACTCGCCAGTATTGCACAACAGACGATGATTTCAGGGAGTTTGTCGACCAAGTCCCTGAAGGTTGCCGCCTCACAATTGTATCTGATTCCTGCCACAGCGGCGGTCTTATCGAGCAAGCTAAGGAGCAGATTGGCGAGAGCACTAGGAATCAGGATCAGGAGCATGAATCATCAGGCTCTGGTTTTGGATTCGGAAGCTTCCTGAAGCAGACCGTGCAAGGTGAACTTGAGTCTCGGGGGATTCATATCCCTTCAGCATTCCGTCACCATCGGCATCAAGATGAAGAGGAGGAGCGAGAGGTGGAAAGCGCTTATGGTGACAGAGGCTATGTGAAGAGTAGATCGTTGCCACTTTCTACTCTAATAGAGATACTTAAGCAGAAGACCGGTAAAGATGACATCGATGTAGGTAAGTTGAGGCCGGCCCTTTTCGATATCTTTGGTGAAGATGCAAGTCCTAAGGTGAAGAAGTTCATGAAAGTCATATTGAACAAACTCCAACATGGACATGGAGATGGGGAAGGCGGAGGTGGTTTTATGGGCATGGTCGGAAGCCTGGCACAGGAATTTCTCAAGCAGAAGCTGGACGGGAGCGACGAGGGGTATGCAAAACCTGCCATGGAGGTAGAAGTAGGAAGCAATCAAGAAGTTTATGCTGGGACAACAAAGCGTTCCTTTCCAGATGGTGGTATTCTGATCAGCGGTTGCCAGACCGATCAAACTTCAGCCGACGCCAGCCCTTCAGGAAACGCCCGTGAAGCTTATGGGGCTCTCAGCAATGCCATCCAGACCCTGATCGCTGAGACGGATGGTGCAATCACCAATCACAAACTTGTTACGCGGGCGAGGGAGATGCTGGAGGGCCAGGGCTTCACCCAGCGCCCTGGCCTCTACTGCAGCGACCACCATGTGGATGCTCCCTTTGTTTGCTAATCCGAATGTGTTTCTTCTTTTCAAGGGATCATGAATAATTATCAGCGTTTGGAAGAGTTTGTGGAGAGTTTGTGTTGTTTTTTCCTACCTCAGTTTGTCTGATAAACTCGATGGGAGAGATTATAAGAGAAAGAAAAAGAAGAGAGATTGTGGTAAACTGAAGAGTTTATGTTCAGACCTTTGACTTTGATAATATGCAGTCGTATTGGGTGTTAAGCACGTTTGCTGAGGGGGAAACTAATAACGAATTACATGTGGCCTTCCCTGGCTCAAACAAGTCTACATCAGGAACGATGCCCCAATGGATGGAAGATGTTTTCCCTCCCGGACAAGCAGATGCAATACTTGGGAATGCTTGCATTCCCAGATCACTGAGTGTACTCCTCATGGATCATGCCTTGCGGATTCAAACCGTCGTTTGCTCGCGAAAGTCTCTCTTGTTTCTTCTCAATCATCGATACCCTAGCCTATTATCCACTCTGCAACAGTCTGGGAAATGTTTTAGCGTCGTGAAATTGTGGACCTCGCATTGTTGAAACTCTGAAGATGTTGAGAGTACTTGGCTAATAGGGGCATATTTGTTTATTTCCTTTATTATTTTATATATTGCAACAATAAGGGTAAAATTGTAATTTTGGCCTTTTTGGCTTTATTATAAATAGATAGCTTGGGGTCACATAAACCTAACCAAGCATTCAGTTCAGTTTTTTCTCTCAACATGGTATCAGAGCCGATCTGAACTGAAACCCTAACCCTAATCTCTCCTCTGCGCAACCTTTCTTTTTTCCTCTCTTCACGCCTTCACTCTCTCCCAATGCAGTTCCTTCTCATCTTCTCCTTTGCTATCTTTCACAGTGTAGGGCAGCACTAATGAAGTGATTCTTTGAATCTAGTGTCCGTCCTAAACTTCACCTCTATGACATAACTAAAACTTCTTTGCAGTCCGCGATAGGTGGTTCAACTTCTTCTGCGATTTTTTGGATCTTCTTGTCTGGAATTGTTTCTGCCTTGCCGCTGGCCTACAATTCTCTCGTGTGTGAAGACCAAAGCACTGCAGTTCGTGGACCACCATATTTTTTCAAATTCTTTGGGATAAATTAGAATTATCGATTTTTTTCAAGATTTCAAAATCTTGAAAAAAATCGATTTTTTTCTTCCCTTGATCTGATCTTGCTGATTTTTTGGAGGATATTTTTAGCCTACTACCAGTGACAATGTCTGACGATTCAGTTGAGAACCGTCCACCTACAGGAGATGGCCGTACAGATTATATTACTTTCGCTACAATTTTTGTAAAGCTCAACGGCACAAATTATTTGATATGGTCTCGATCTGTATTATTGACTATTGCAGGCCGTGGGCTTACAGGTCATATCAACGGCACTTCTTTGAAGCCGGAAACATCGGGTGCTACTCAAGACAAGTGGATCTCGAATGACTCTTTGGTAATGTCTTTTTTGCTTAACTCGATGCAGCCACGTATTGCAAAAGGATATTTGCTTCTTGATACTACGGCGCAAATTTGGTCAGCTGCTAGGGATACTTATGGTCAAATCGGGAATGATGCACAGGTGTATGAACTTCGAAAAAGGGTTCATGACACTTCTCAGAAGGAGATGACTATATCTCAATATTATGCTGAGCTTCGAAGTTTATGGCAAGAGTTAGATCATTATACTGATTATCAACCAACTAATGCTATAGACATTGCTGCCTACAAGAACCATGTGGACAAGATCAGAGTTTATGATTTCTTGGCAGGATTGAATGTTGAATATGATCAGATACGTGTTCAAGTCCTTAGCCGGTCTCCATTCCCCACTCTAGAACAGTCATATGCCCTAGTTCACTCAGAAGAACGCCGTAGGACAGCAATGCTCCACTCCTCTACTATTGATCGATCTGCTCTACAAATCAGTGCTGGCACTATTACTAAATCTGGTTCGTTCTCTCGATTTAATGATACCCCTAAGGAAGTTGTGAAGTGTGAATATTGTCATAGGCCTTATCATACTAAGGCTACTTGCTGGAAGTTACATGGAAAACCTGCAGATTTTGAGGAAAAAAAGGCACAGAGGAAGACAAAAAACAAAGCAAACCATACTGAAACTGTTACTGCTACACCTACTACTCATATTGGTTTATCCCAGGAAGAACTTCGGGCATTTCGACGTCTACTGAAAGCTTCTACTACTGCTGCTTCCTCCACAGTTGCCAATTCGTCTTCTCATTTTGCTTCAAATCTAGCCACTTCAGGTATCTTCTTTGGGGGGTTTAATACATCTGTTGTTTCCAGCCCATGGATCATTGATACAGGGGCTACAGATCATATGACAGGTTCTTCTGGTCTTTTTCATCAATACACCCCTACTTCCGGTAGAGACAAAGTTCGTATAGCTGATGGAACCTTCTCTTCCATCGCTGGAAAAGGGTCTATCAATTGTTCCTCCACTCTTCCCTTGTCTTCTGTTTTACATATTCCATCATTCTCTAATAATCTCCTTTCTATTAGTAGTTTGACTCGAGACTTAAATTGTAAAGTAACTTTTTTCCCTTCTTACTGTATTTTTTAAGATCTGGTAACGGAGAAGGAGATTGGATATGGTAGATTGGATGGTGGTCTTTATCTGCTCGAGGGTAGTGGGGTTTCTACTTCTATGTCGTCTACTACGCCCCATCAAGTTAATTCAGCATTGACAGATCTCCATCAGTGGCATTGCAGATTAGGTCATCCCCCTTTAGGAACTTTAGAAAAAGTTTTCCCGAGTCTCGTTTCAGCTTGTAATAAAGATGAGTTTTTTTTGTGAAGCTTGTGTCTTTGCTAAACAAACTCGTTCTACATATTCATCTTCAAATAATAAAAGTCGTTTCCCTTTTCATGTGATTCATACTGATGTGTGGGGTCCTTCCCAACGTACTTCTATTTCTGATCATCGATGGTTTGTTACTTTTATCGATTGTCATTCTCGTGCAGCTTGGGTTTATTTGTTGAAGCATAAGAGTGACGTTTTTCGTTTTTTTCAAATTTTTCACAAAATGATTCAAACTCAATTCAACGCCACTGTGAAAATTCTTCGCAATGACAATGGCACTGAGTACACTGAAGGTCAGTTTCAACGGTATCTCTTTTATCATGGCATTATTCATCATACCAGTTGTGTTGATACCCCAGCACAAAATTGTGTTGCCGAAAGAAAGAACCGACATTTGTTAGAGGTCGTCAGGTCTCTTATGTTTGCACGTCATGTCCCCTCTCAGTATTGGAGTGATGCTATTTTAACCGCTGCCTATTTAATCAATCGGATGCCGACTAGAATTCTTGATTTTCGCACACCTATTGATGTTTTACAGGGATCATCAACTTTTATTCTTCCTCCAAAAATTTTTGGTTGTGTTTGTTATGCTCGTAACACTACCTCTAAGAGTAAGTTGGAACCCCGCGGTCTCCGCTGCATATTTCTTGGTTATTCAGCTACTCTAAAGGGTTATAAGTGTTATCATCCTCCTTCTAGGCACAGTATTATATCTATGGATGTGATTTTTCATGAGTCTACTTCTTATTATTTCGCTTCACCTCTTCAGAGGGAGTGTCTTAGTATAGAGGTGTTGCCAATTCTAAATGTTCCTAAGGATATTACTTACTCTTCTCCTCCTCCTCCTCCAATAGTCTCTGATCGTCCTTCTCAAGAGGAGAACGATGCAACGCAAGTAGAGAATAATGCAATACCTCAGGGGGAGATATCAAAGGTTCAGGGGGAGACCACACCTGTTAAGCAAAGTATTGGTATCTTTCAAAGGCGGATTGATAGTGGGGAAACATTGAAGACATATCGTCGTAGGAATTCCACTACCAACATGCAGGTTAAAACCACCGATACATTGCCTATTCAGTCATCATCTCCGGATCCGGATTCTACTACTCATTCTGATCTTCCTATCGCACTCCGAAAGGGTATTAGAACTTGTACTCAACACCCTATATCCAATGTTGTTTCATATGACTCTTTGTTCAGCTCTTAGTGTACTTTTGTATCTTCTCTATCTTCTGTTTCTATTCCACAGAATTGGCAAGAAGCTTTTGTAGATGAGAAGTGGAAGACAGCAATGGTGGAGGAAATGCATGCTTTGAAGAAAAATGACAAGTGGGATCTTGTTGTTCTTCCTCCTGGGAAATAACCGGTAGGATGTAAGTGGGTGTTTGTAGTCAAACAGAATATGCATGGTACTGTGGACAGATATAAAGCACGGTTAGTGGTGAAGGGATTTACTCAGACTTATGGGATTGACTATCAAGAAACCTTTGCTTCTGTTGCCAAGTTGAATACTGTTCGAGTGTTACTTTCGTGTGCTGTAAACCAGGGAAGGAATCTTCAGCAGTTAGATGTGAAGAATGCCTTTCTTCATGGAGAGTTGGAAGAGGGGATATATATGGAGATTCCTCCAGGTTTTTCTTGTGACAAAACTCAAGGTAAAGTGTGTAAGCTGAAACGTGCACTTTATGGTTTAAAGCAATCACCTCGAGCTTGGTTTGGTAGATTTCAAAAAGCTATGATCTTTGTTGGGTATAAACAAAGTAATGCTGATCATACTTTGTTTGTGAAGAGATCAGGTGCTAAAGTCACTATTCTTATTGTCTATGTAGACGACATTATTGTCACAGGGAATGATATTGATGAGATAAGCCGGTTGAAGAATTTTCTTGGACAAGAATTCGAAATAAAGGATCTTGGAAAGCTCCGATACTTTTTTGGGATTGAAGTTGCCAGATCTTCAAACTTTCTATCCCAAAGGAAGTATGTCCTTGATCTTTTAACAGAAGTTGGGTTATTAGGATGTCGTCCCTCTGATACACCTATTGAGGTCAATACTCGTCTTCGAGAAAAGGATGGTGATCCCGTAGATAAGGGTCGTTATCAACGGTTAGTGGGCAAGTTGATTTATTTATCACACACCAGACCCGATATTGCTTTTGCCGTGAGCCTAGTGAGTCAGTTTATGCATGATCCATACTCTACTCATATGGATGGTGTTCTTCGAATCCTTCGATATTTGAAGTTTGCTCCCGGAAAAGGGATTCTTTTATCTCCTCGTGATGGCTTGAAAGTTGAAGCCTATACAGACGCTGATTGGGCTCGATCTCCTGACCGAAAGTCTATTTCTGGGTATTGTACTTTCTTAGGAGGGAATCTTGTGACTTGGCGCAGCAAAAAGCAGAA